TCCACCTGTTTATGCCTCCCGAGTGCTGGGCTTAAAGACATGCCACCATTGCCCCGCAAGAACAATACATGTTCTTAGCCACTGAGCTATCTCTCACCCCCCCCCCCTTTCTTTTTCCCCTTTAATTTGGACAGTTGTCTACTTGTTGGCTGAACCTGTCACGTTTCTTTGGAAATGTCTCTTTGGGGTCTTTGATCTGTTATTTTCTGAATTTACTGTGTAGATTCTTATTAATCTGGTGTCAACAAAGAAACAAAGCAATATTGAAGTTAATGGAATAGCAATTTTTAAATTGAACTTTGAGTTTAAATCTACGTTAGTACTTATTTTTTTAATTTTCTGTACGTGTATGTTTCTGCGTGTGAGCGTGTACATGTGAGTGCAGGTGCGTTCAGAGGCCAGAGACACTTTTTGCTCTTAGCTGTTTCCTATAACCTAATGTATTCCAGGTTTATGTTGGTGGTGGTGGTAATATTTCTCTTTGCAAAGCTAGAGAATCCTCTGGGGTAGTAGCAGACTCACTTTTCACTATTGAGTCAGCTCTCGTTCTTATTTTTACCTTGTTTATTGTGGCTCTTCTCAAGTCCAGATTTTTCTGTTAATTCTGATTCTAATTAATTTTGATTCTAAGCAGAAATCAATCATAATACATGTAAAAAAAATAAGTTGAACATATTTGTTGTATTATACATTTCATCTTTTATTATTATGTTTTCTTTTTGCTTTTAGGCAAGGATAAAAGCCATTAATACATTTTTTGCTAAGAATGGTTATCGATTAATGGATTCTAGTCTGTATACTCAACCCATTCAGACTCCAACCCAATATCCCTCACCAGTCTTTATGCAGCCAGTGTATAACCCTCATCAGCAGTACTCAGTGTATAGTATTGTGCCTCAGTCTTGGTCTCCAAGCCCTGCACCCTACTTTGAAACACCACTGGTAAGTGAGAACTTTCAGAAAAATAATACAATATTTAGTTCAAGCTAAAATGTAAAGAAACCATCTAAAAACCAAGTAGAGATGAATTTGCTTGTGATTGGAGCACATACAAAGCAGCATTAGAAGAATCATTGCAACTTCAAGGCCAGGCTAGTCTGCATAGAAAGTAACAGACCAGCCATAGTTGTCAAAAAGATACCAAAAACTCCAACAAGCTAATCCAGTTGGTTGATTTTTGTGTTGGTTACTCTGTGGGTAATCTATGATAGTTCCTTACCCAGGAAGCAGTAAGTAAGCATATTACTAAGGGTTGAGCTGTTGGTTTCTACAATTTGATTTTTTACATTTTGCTAAGTGAATTGAAAAAGAAACTAAGTCCTTTGTTTGATTGATTGTTTTACCATGTAGCCCTGGCTGTCCTGGAACTCTGTATGTAGACCAGGCTGGCCTTGAACTCAGATCTGCCTGCCTCAAGAGTGCTGGGACTTAAGATGTGCATCACTCTGCTCAGCTTTTGACATCAAAGAGTTCCCATGTAATAAATTAGTGATATGTTATTTATAATAAAATAGTGTGAGGTGGGAACATTGCAGAAATGATTAAGTACAGTTTTCTATTTTTTTTTTTTTAACTTATTGAAGAAACTGATGTTACTGTGACTCACTTGGGTTTCTCAAAACCTTCTCTGGAATATTATATTATATCCTTACCATTAAACACTAATGCTTTTTTCTAGGCTCCTTTCCCTAATGGTAGTTTTGTGAATGGCTTTAGTTCACCAGGATCTTATAAAACAAATGCTGCTGCTGTGAACATGGGCCGACCATTCCAAAAAAATCGGTAAGATTAAAAAATGATAGCTGAAATTTATTTTAAACAATTTTCGGTAGTTCCTCAGAAATTTCCATTTTCCCTTTTTTCCTTTTCTCGGATTTTCAAGACAGGGTTTCTCTGTAGCTTTGCTGCCTGTCCTGGAACTAGCTCTTGTAGACCAGGCTGGACTTGAACTCACAGAGATTCGCCTGCCTCTGCCTTGCTAGTGCTGGGATTAAAGGTGTGCACCACCACCGTCCAGTTATTTCCATGTTCTTGTTGCGAAACTCTAAGTATTTTTGTTTATTTTTATAAAACATTCATGAATTACTCAGTATATAATTCTTCAAGATCAGAATGAGTAATAGATATAAAGGGGTGAGAATTTCAGCAGTTTCTGTTTTGTCTTTTATTTTGTTTTATTATACATGTGGGTGTTTTGCCCATATGTGTATCTATACCACTTTGATTTCTGTTGTCCTAGTAGCCCAAAGGAAGGTGTTCTGTTCCCTGGAACTGGAGTTACAGATGATTGTGAGCCACTGTGTCAATTCTGGGAATTGAACCTTAGCCCTGTAGAAATAAAATCTGTTATCTTAACCATTGAACCCCAGCTCTCCACCCCAAATATATTTTATTATTTTTACCTTATCATTTTTTTCCAGACAATTTCTCTGTGTAGTCGTCCTGTCTTTCCTGAAACTCAGTGTGTATTCCAGGCTGCCCATGAACTCAGATTTACTTGGGGCCTCCCCAAGTGCTAGGATTAAAGGGGTGCACCGCTACCACCCAACTACCAGTTCATTTTTTTATATGAATTCTGGGGATTGAACCTAGATCCTTGTGCTTGTAAAGTAAGCACATAACTGAGTTTCCTCCCCAGCATACACAAGTTGTGGTTTCTTTTTTTTTTTTTTTGGAAAAGTACTGATGTTTGCAAATGTTTGTCTTAAAAGTATAGGACTGGACTGGAGAGGCTGGAGAGATTGCTTAGCACCACTGGCTGTTCTTACAGCGGATACAGGTTTAATTCCTAACACCCCCACAGTGGCTCACAACCATCTATGACTCTAGTTTGGAGGATCTAACTCCCTCTGTTCTAAACTGATATACATGCAGTTAAGACATCCATACACTTAAAATAATAAATAAAACCAAACCAAGCCTACAGGATTGGACATGTCGTTCAGTTGTAGTACTCTTGCCTTGCTTAATTAATTGGATTTTAATCTTCAGCTCAATAAAAGTGTGCACACAATGCATGCAACCCTGTGTGTCCAGTTCTTTTTTGTATTCATGTGTGCCATGGCATGCATGTGGGCACCAAAGGACAACTTTGAGGAGTCTGTTTTTACCTTCCACTTGTTGAGTCAGGTCCCTTGTTGGTACCACTGCACATGTTCAGTCTATCTGGCTCTTTAGTTTCTGGGCAGTTCTCTTGTCTGTTTCTCATGTCTGAAAAAAAGTGTTGGGATTACATATGCCACCACATCTGGCTTTTATATTGGTTCCCAAGGCCAGATTTTTACCTGCTAAGCTATCTCCTGCAAAAACAATAGGAATGCCTTCTAATTAAAATTTTAGAATACTAGCTTTTACTACCAGCCTAATGTTTGCTGCTTTCTTGCTTCTAAGGAGTGATGGATGGTCAGGCCCTTTGCAGTTAAAGGCCCTATCCCTTCAGTTCTGTGTATGTTTTTGTTTTGATTGCAGACTTTGATTGCATTTGCACTTTCCCCTGAAGAGAGAGGGACAGAAAGGGGAAAAGAAGAGGGAGAGGAGGGGTGTAGGGAGGAGGGAGAAGAAGAGAAACAAAGTCAAAGAAAGAGTCTTTCTTCTGTAACTCCATACATTAGGCTGGCTTCTGCCTCCAGAGTCGTGGGATTAAAGCATGCACTCCCACACCCCTTTTTGGGTTGTTGGTTTGTTTTAGTGTTTTGTTTTATGTATATGTTTGGGTTTTGTTGGTATTATTTATATTTTATTTTTCCAGACATGGTTTCTAGCTTGGAAACATGTAATGTGGTCAAGAATGTCCTTAAACTCTTGATCCTCTTGCATCTCCATCCTCTTGCTTGAGTTACACACATACATTCCTTGTCTAGTTTAGTACTTTTTTGCAACTTGTTTTCAACTTTTGATAGCCCAGTGATAATCAAGAATCCTAGTGAGAAAAAAAAAAGAATCCTAGTGAGAATGGGACTAACTTGCAAAAGTCTAGACACTTTTCTACTTTATTTTTTTCTACTTTATTTTATTTGTAGTACCTGGACTGTGATTGTTCAGTCCCTATCAGTATGAGAGCTGAGGGCTATTTAATAAATAAACTAATGGAATTTGGTGAGTGACAGCTCCATGGAAACAGTGCAGTTTACCTTACCAAGATATTTTTAGAAAACTATTTTTAAACTCCTATTAAAGAATATACTGTAATTTTTGTTACTTTGAAAATATAAGTTTTTTTTTGTGTGTGTTTTTCGAGACAGGGTTTCTCTGTGTAGCCCTGACTGTCCTGGAGCTAGCTCTATATACCAGGCTCGCTTCAAACTTACTGAAATATTTTTTTAAAATATTTATTTATTTATTATGTATACAATATTCTTTCTGCATTGTGCCTGAAAGCCAGAAGAGGGCACCAGATCTCATTACAGATGGTTGTGAGCCACCATGTGGTTGCTGGGAATTGAACTCAGGACCTGAGTTACTTTTACAAAGATTTTTTAACTTTGTCTTTTCATAGTGCCTGAGGAGTAAATTAAGGCTTTGTCAGTGAGGTTTGTGGGGCAAGTTGTGAATTTTGGTTTGGTTGGGAAAGTTGTTAGAGTTAATACCTGTTTATGTTCTAATTATTTGTGGTGTTACAGTTCTGCTCAGAAAGCTCAGAAATGACGCTGTTGTTACTATGAATTTATGTCTGTAGAAAAGGCCGTAAGAAGTGGCATATAAACTGCAACAGCATACCAGTTATGAATCCCGCATTTTCTTTTTCATCGGCTAGTGTGCCAAGATGCTTTTTATGTTTATTTATTTTATTTTTCTTATTTTACTTTTCAGGACAGGGTCTCACTATAAACTAGGCTGGCCTTGAACTCACAGAGATCCACCTTCTCAGCCTCTGGAGTGCTGGTATTAAAGGCTGCCACCACTGCTCTCTGGTTGGGTTTTGATTTTTAGTTGTTTGTAGATAGGTCTTTCTAGTCCTGTCTCTTCTGGTATTTTCCCCTAATACTAATAAGCAGCATTTTCCTATGTGTGTGATATAAATATATAAAAACAAATACAATGTTTTTGGCCGCCCAATACAAGAATAAGTTGTGGGTTTTTTGTTTGTTTGTGTGGCTCCCACTGGTGGTTTTACCTTTATCAGAGGCCTGCTGTAGCCTTATTAGTAAACATAAAGCCTTTTGTTTTTTGTTTTGCTTTTGTTTGTTTTGTTGTTGTTTTTGAAAAACTTTTTGGATACCAGTAAAATCCTAACTGCAGTTTTGTTGCTTTTTTTTTTTTTTTTTTTTTTAAGACAGTTACTCTATTGTGGCCCTGAATGTAGTCCTGGAATTTCATATGTAGAACAGGCTGGCCTAAAGCTTACAAAGATTATCCTGCCTTTGTCTCCTTAGTGCTGGGTTAAAGGCATGCACCACTAGGCTTGCTATTGATGCAGAGGTAGAAGTAGCTTTATGTGACACTTCATCCCCCCCCCCCCATATTACATGTTGTGGAAATTCCTTTGCCTTTTCTTAAAAATATTACATAAGAGGTATAACATTTTCTTGCTTTATTCTTTGTATGTTTTTTTTTTTTTTATTTTAGTGTGAAGCCTCATTTTAGGTCATCCAGTGGTTCAGAACACTCAGCAGAGGGCTCTGTGTCATTGGGGGATGGACCATTAAGCAGATCTAGTTCAAGGAACTTTCTCTCTGAACGGCATAACTCTACAGTAACAGGGAGTCAAGAACAAGCTTATCTTCCAAAGGAAGCTCCCATTTTACAGATGGAACAGAATGGGGACCTTGTTAGGGGCAGGTAAGGAAACTTGATTTAATCATAATATGCTGATCTTCAATGTTGAAAACTATCTGGTGATTTTTGTTCTTATTTTAATTGGTGTGTGATTATCTTAAATAAATTCATTGGTGGCTGGAGAGATGGCTCAGCATTTAAGAACACTAACTCTTCCAGAGGTCCTGAGTTCAATTCCCAGCAACCACATGGTGGCTCACAACTGTCTGTAATGAAATCTGGTGCCCTCTTCTGGGGCACAGCTACACATGCAGGCAGAATATTGTATACATAATAAATAAATAATCTTTTAAAAAATGAATTCATTGTTCTTATAAGTTAATAGGACTTGGGAAGGTTTCATTCAGTTTGAAGGGTTTGGCACTGCTACCATCAAACATCTCATTTAAGTACTACCACCAAGCTACTTCTTTATATTTGAATCATTGGGGTTTTTTCTTTTGGTGTGTGTTTGGGGGGGTATATTTTGTTTTTATCCCTGCCTGGCCTAGAACTTGCCATGTAGAAATTAGATTGGACACAAAACTCCCAAAAATTCACCTGCCTCTGCCTTCTAAAAGAATTGGAATTAAAGGTGTACATCTCCATGTCTGGTTCTGCCTTCTAGTTTCAATTTCTTCTTAGTTATCAACTGTAAGAGCAGAGGGCTATTTTGACTATTATGTCTAAATCAGACTTCAGTGCTTTTGATGTGGAAAATGTGTTATAATAGAAATGGGTCCAGCTAACTTTGTGGTGGTGGTAGTTAGTGAAATTTCTTGTATTAGCTCAAGATCTCTTCAAAAAAAAATTTACTTAGCTTTTTTAGGAGTAATGGAAGAATAGCACCTATTTTGAAAAATTAAATATTTTAAGTAGATTTCTTTGTTAGAAAATAAGTTTATGTATTTCAAGAATTTTATATGCATTCTTTTGTTCAAAGGAGGGCTCTTTTCAGAGGTCGAAGGCGAAGAGATGATGACAGGGTCCCAGTAAGTACTTTCCTTTTTATACCTTCACTATTATTCCTTTTGGTCTGTCTTTTCTTTCTGGTTTTATTTTGTTGGTTATTCAAACAAAAATAATTGAGTCTGATATTGATCTGGCTCAATTATTTACCCTCTAGTGTCTAGTTAGCTGTCTGGAGTTGTATTGCTAATTGTTTTGTTTTGTTTTGTTTTTTGGAGACAGGGTTTCTCTGTTTAACAGCCTTGGCTGTCCTGAACTCACTGTGTAGACCAGGCTGATCTTGAATTTTCAGAGATTCACTACCTCTGCCTCCCAAATGCTGAGATTAAAGGCATGTGCTTTTAATCTATTGGCGTATTGCTAAGATTTTATGTCTAGCATGTTCAAGTTGCTTAAAAAGTAATTTGACCCAGGTGTGCTTGCCTTTAATTTCAGCTCCCAGAAGGAGGCAGTTCTTGCCAGTCTAGTCTACATAGTAAGTTCTAGACCAGCCAGGGATTCATTGTGAGAGCCTGTATTAAAAAGAAGCAGGAGAGGTAATTAAATTTGAAGGTTTATTACATTGCTGTTACTTATTGTTTGTGCTTAGGCAGTGTTTCATTGTAGAGCCCATACTGGCTTCAAACTCAGTCTTACTGCTTCAACTTCCCAGCTCCTGTCTGGTGTGAAAGAGTGCTTTAACTATGTAAAGATATGTTATATTTGCTTAATTTGTCTAATTGTCAGGTGCCTTAGTCAGGATCTGATGCCTTCTTCTGGCCTCCTTGGTGACCAAGCACACACAGTACACAGACATACATATAGCCAAACACCCACACCAAAATATTGCTTAAAATAATTTTTAAAAAGTAATAGTGGTTACATGCCCTTAATCCCAGAACTCAAAAGCCAGAGGCTGGTGGAAATTCACAATTTCAAGGTCAGTTTGCCCTACAAGTTCCAGTAAAGCATGGAAATGGTAAAAAAATAGAATGGGAGTTTTCTTGGAGGATATATAGGCTGATAGGTTGAAAGGAGAGATGAACTTTCTAAGCAGGAGGGATATTGTTCTGTCTGGAGATTATATGAAAGGATTAAAAGGGTCACAATGGTTTTATTTCTTTACTTTGTGATGGAAGAGGGGTTTAGAAGAAAGTAGGAAGCAAAGAATTATAGGCATTAGCTAGGAGTTAAGAGATGTAGCAGAGTTTTCAAAAGAAAGCAGAAGGGCTTTGCAGTGGTTGGTGGTATACACCTTAAATCCCAGCACTCTGGAGGTGAAGCAGGCAGATCTCCATGCATTTGAGACCAGCCAGGGCTACACAAAGAAATCTTGTCTCAAAAAACAAAAACAGAAAGAAAAAAAAAAAAGGAAAAAAAGGGGGGGGGGAGAAGAGGAAGCTAAGACTGAGATAAAGATCCAGGAATTTTTAAGGCGGTGTGGCTCTGCCCTTTAGAAGTGCTGCTTTTCTTACTGCTTTGGGAGTAGAGAAAATATTAGGCACATGACCTGTTTAACCGTTTGTTTTATAGAGACCTCAGCCTTCAACAACTGAAGTGAAGGCTCCAACACCAAAGTTTGACTTACTAGCTACAAATTTTCCTCCCTTACCTGGAAGTTCGTCAAGAATGCCAGATGAGCTTGTTCTGGAGAATAGAATGTCTGATGTTGTTAAAGGTGTCTACAAAGAAAAGGTAAACACTGAAGTGTCTGGGATTATATTTATATTTATCAGGGATATTATATAAATTCGCACTTGCATTAATTATTTGTTTTATAATTTCAGTTATTAGAATTTTCACCATATTTTGAGAGTTTTAAAAAGATGTTTTATAAAACTCCCAAGTAGCAAGGAAGTGTCCCTTGGTTTTTGTGTAGGTCAGCTCAGTTTGGTAGCTTATGTTAATGGGAAAAGAAGAGTCATTTCCATAAAAGTGCCTATATTTAGCTAGTGATGTAATAAATTCTAAGATAACTTGGTAAATTCAGACTTTCTAAGTAGATGCCAACCAATGTGGTATGTCTGTTTTTGGGGGGAGTCTTGCTGCATAGCCCAGGCATTCTCGTACCCCAGCTGTCCCAGTGCTGAGATTCTGGCATTGTAGGCATATCCACAATGTCTGGCACTATTTTTGAGTATAGGCCTCTCTCCATATCTGGAATCACAGATCTCATAAATTTTTCTTGTCTTCTACCTTAATTTCTTAGTGTATGTGTGTATAAGTCTGTGGGAGAAGGCACATATATGGGGCTCAGAGGACAACTTTCAGAAGTCAGTTCTTTCTTTCCACTGTGTGTTCCAGGGGTCAACTGAGGTTGCCAGCTTTGTGCATCGAGCAGGTTTACCCACTGAGGCCCTAGTCCTAATGTGGCTATTAGTTATAATAGTACATAGACATACTGTAGCCTAAAATGCAGAACATCAGTCTCTGAAACTACATTCTACTTGACATTTCCCCCCCTCATTAGTTCTGTATTTCTAATTCACATGCTACAGATAGGGTTGTCATTGGTGATAAAATACACCAAGTAAAAGGGATTACCAGGCAGACTTGGTTTCTGTGGTGGTGGTGGCGGTGGCGGTGGCAGTCATAGTCACTGATCTTTTACTTGCAAGGCTGGTGAGACTTTCCTTCATCACAGGTTGCTTTTCTCACTCTGTCGCCTCCAGCCTAGGTTTTGAGGGTGGAGCGCACATGTTAGAGAGAGAGAGAGAGAGAGAGAGAGAGAGAGAATGCATACGCACATTTGTGAGAGAGCACTAGATCATAGCTTTGTTTCTTATTCCACCTTGTTTCAAATGGTCTCTCAAGTTCACTACTACAATATTCCTTCTGATCACCTCTCATCTACACGGTAGTTCTGAGGAGTCAGACTTAAGGTGTCAGCCTTGCATTGTAATTTTTTACCCACTATGCCCTCCCCCCAGCCCTTTTTTGGGGTTTTAGGAAAGGTGCCTCTGTGTGCTCCTGCCTGCCTGACTAACGGAGATGGCCTGAAACTTGCTATGTAGAACCAGCTAATCTGGCACAGTGAATCTTCTCCTTATCCTCCTGAGTGCTGGGGTCACAAGTCCTAAGTGTAAATTTCCTCCTTTTTAGATTTTAAAGTTGGCAGAGCAATATAAGGATCAGGAGGGAAGGACTAAAACTAATTAGGAAAGAAAAGATGGAAAGAGACTATAAGAAAAATGGGGTACAAGAGAGGAAATACTAAACAGCGGTAAGAAAGGGGGAGCGTATAATGATGTTCCAAACACATAAAAAGTATTAAAAATGAATTGCCCAGGATGTTTCATTCCAGCACTATAGAGTCAGGTATCCATGTTCAAGGACAGCCATGGTTACACACAGAGAAAGCCTATCTTGAAGAATTAAATAATTGATGAATAGAAAGGGAGATCATAAAGAATGGTAGGAAGGGGAGGACTGGTGAGCAGAATAGTTAGGCTCACACAGTCTGGAAAGGAAGGAGAATTATATACACATTTCCTATCTAAAAATGTTTTTCTTCTCTCATATTTGATTAGTTTTTCTCTGGGTATAGCTCTCAATCAAATCATTTCCCCTTAGAATTTTAAAGGTATTTTGCTGTTTCCTGTTGCTAAAAATAACTGTTTAAAATGACGCTGGAGAGATAGCTCAGTGGTTGAGTTCTACTGGTCTCGCCGTGGGCTTGAGTTTGGCTCCCAGCACCCACATGGTGGCTCACAACCACTTGTAACTCCATATCCAGGGGAGTCTGATACTTCAGGCCTCTGAGGCATCTCACTCACATGCAGTACCTACACACAAATACACGTAATTTTAAAAGTAATACAAATATATCTCTAAAAATATGTTGGGCCAGGTGTGGTGCTTGCTGCACACCTTGAATCCCAGCATTCAGGAGGCAAAGGCAGGCAAATCTCTGTAAATTCCAGCACAGCCAGGGATCCATAGAGAAACCCTGAAAAAACATACATACATACCTACATACTTATGTATTTGAAAACAGTGTAATTGTTTCAGCAGTTCGTAAGTATATTCTTTTTGTGCTGCACAATCTAATTAAACTTTTAAAATTAGAACCTGTCAAGGTTTCAGTGGTACATAAAGTAGCCATCTACTGCAGGCTGGCCGCCAACTCTCGTGTGCTGAGATTGCAGGCCTTTTCAACCACAACTGGCATGTATGTACATTTTGGAAAGTGATGTGTGCTTCTCTCCATAATCCCATTCTACACCTGTGGGTTGGAAACACCTCGGTATTTTAGCAGCAACATGTGTGTTCCTTCTTTATTTATTCTTCTTACTCTGTCTTCTTACTTAAAAGCATTATTTTGATTTTGTAGTGACAATTTTCTTGCTTCCCTTTTACCCAAGTTGACAGATTTATTATTATTATTATTATTAACTTCTTTATATTCTTTGGGATTTTCACATCATGCACCCCAATTCTGCTTGTCTCCTGGTCCTCCCATATTTTCCCCTCATCCCTGCTACACCCCCTCTAACAGGAAATAAAGTAAGCAAGCACGCAAACTAAAGCAAAAACAAAACAAAAAAATACAAAGCGAGGCCAGATGGTGGTGCCGCACGCACACCTTTAATCGCAGCACTCCGGAGGCAGGAACAGGTGGATCTCTGTGAGTTCAAGGCCAGCATGGTCTACAGAGTGAGTTCTTAGTATAGCCAGGTCTGTTACACAGAGAAACCCTGTCTCCAAAAACCACAACAACAGAAAAATATCTTTGCTTCTCCTTCTTTCCTGCCTCTCCAACACCTTATTCATACTGACATTGAAGGCTTCAGTATGCCATTTAGTACACCCCTTTACTCCATCAGTTTTACTGTCAAATGTTCATTGCAATGAAGTCACTGGTCTGGTTCAAGTCCTCTGGTTTCTTGTACACCATCATCACTAGATCCTCACCAGAACTCCTAGAATATCCTGTGACTGTGGGACCACCCACCTCAGGTGAGGAAGTAGAGTCAACTCCCCTGCTTACATGCCCTAAGAGTCTGTTCACCCTGGCCTGTAGTGAGGAGTGGGGGCCGGCTAGCCTTCGTGCAGGGGCCAGCTCTCTTACTATACTGTCCAGTGAGAGGCAAGGCCAGCAAATGGTGGTGCCGGCTCAGCATGGTCTCTGATTTCATCTAGCGTGGTTTCTAGGTCTTCTGAGGTGACACAGACCCCAGATATAAATGGTCCATGCATCCAGACATGGCCCTTGGTGGCATCTTGGGATGGATGACACCCTGCCTCTGGGTGACTCTGGTGGGAATTGTTCTGGTGTCTGGATTGACTGCTGGACACCACCAAGGCCTCAGATTGTGGTCCTAACCCTGGGCCTTTATGTGACCTTTGGTGGCAATACAGAACCCAGACTTCAGCCCAGACCCCAGCCACAGTAGGACCATGGAAGCAGCAGCTGGGTCTGGGTGTCACCATTGCCCCAGCAGCAGTATGACCTAGAGACATGAACATGGCCTTCTATCTCGGGGGTCTGCATGACCTTCGATGGTAACAGGTGCATCAAATATCAGCATAGACCTTAGCCACAGTAAGACCGCAGACTCTGACATGGTCCTTGGCAGCATCCTGGCCTGGTTGTCACCATGATCCCAGGTGGCAGTAAAGGCCGCCCAGATCAGTATGGCCCCAGCAGCAGAGTGATTTGTGGGCCCAAACAAAAAATTTACTGTTAACTATTTTAATACAGTTGCGAGGTGACATGGATGCCAAGGAATTTAGCCTGTTCTCTTAACCTGCTGAAGCAGCTCTCCAGCCCGTGTTTTGCTTTCTTCCTTTTTTTTTTTTTTTTTTTTTAAATTTTGAGGCAGGGTCACCTTCTGTGGCATATACTAAACTGGAGCTCACTGAGTAGATCAGGCTGGCCTTGTACTTATGGTGATCCTGTCTTAGCCTCTCGGGTGTTTGGAGTAGAATCAGCCCTTGTGCTCAGCTATTCCCCCCTACCCCCAGCAACAAGCCTTTTGCTTTCTGTCTTTGAGTTGACTCTTGTTGGTATCTCAGATGAAGTCATACACTGCTTATTTTTCTGTGACATGGCTTATTTTGTTTAGCAGAGTGTCCTCAAGGTTCATGTTCTTTGAATCATACCTGGCTATGTTTATACATTTACCACTTGATTTGCATTGGGTGGTTTCCTTTTTTGGCTCATGTAAATGATGCTATGAAGATTATTTGCATGAAATTTCCTGTAGTCTACGTATGGCAGAATGCCTAATTAGACTTTTTCTTATGTAAGATAAATTTCATTGTTATTTGGGCACATTTTAAAAAAATGTATTTATACAGTGTTCTTCTGGCATGTATTCCTGCAGGCCAGAAGAGGGCACCAGATCTCACTATAGATGGTTGTGAGCCACCATGTAGTTGCTAGGAATTGAATTCAAGACCTAGGAGAATAATCAGTGTTCTTAACCTCTGAACCATCTCTCCAGCCCCATTGACACTTCATTATTATTATTTTTTAAGATTTATTTATTTATTATGTATACAGCATTCCGTCTGCATGTATGCCCACACGCCAGAAGAGGGCGCCAGATCTCATTTACAGATGGTTGTGAGCCACCATATGATTGCTGGGAATTGAACTCAGGACCTCTGGAAGACAGCCAGTGCTCTTAACCACTGAGCCATCTCTTCAGTCTCTATTATTATTACATTATTACTTTTAGGTAGCATGAGTAGAATTGGTTGAAAGGTCATATAATAACTGTTTATTTAACTGCTAGATTTTGTTTGTTTTTTGGGACAGGGTTTCTCTGTGTAGTTCTGGCTGTCCTGGAACTCACAGAGGTGCACCTGCCTCTGCCTCCTGAATGCTGGTATTAAAGGCGTGCGCCACCACCACACCCGGCTCTTGAACACCTCTTTATTATAGTATAAAGCAGTCTTATTTACGGTTGAATTATTCATACTTTCAGTACTTGCTGGACAGTTGTTTATCTTCTTTATTAAAATGTTCAAATGTGATTTCAAACTCTTTCAACTTTTAGGACAATGAAGACTTGAGAGTTAGTTGCCCAGTTCCTGCAGAGGATGAACAGGCAGACAGTGCTTCTGCCCAGCAACTCAGCAGAAGTCCTGGTCCTTCATGTCCAACTGAGCTTCCTGTGTTAAGGTACTTTTTTCTTTTTCACAGTAAGAGAACTTCAACATTAACTTTTTATTACTCTGGTAGTGCCTAGCTGTAATCTTAGCCCTTAGGATTCTGAGAAAAGAGGATTAAAAGTTTAAGTCTAGCCTTGACTACATATGGAGACCGCTTCTCAAAGGGTTGGGGGTAGAGTTGGTAAGATTGCTCAGAAGTTAAGAGCACATACTTGTAAAAGAGCTGAGTTTGGTTTCTAAGTACCTATGTCAGGCAATACACAGTTGTCTGTAACTCTAGCTCCAGGGAATTCAGTAACCTCATTTGGATTCTGAGGGTAGCTTCACTCTTGTGTACATATAAGCACAGACAAATATCCACATACAAAAACCAAATCCACTGGGCAGTAATGGCACATGCCTTTAATTCCAACACTTGGGAAGCTGAGGCAGGTGGATCTCTGAGTTCAAGGCCAGCCTGCTCTACAAGAGCTACTTCCAGGACATCCAGGGCTGTTACACAGAGAAGCCCTGTCTCGATAAAGCAAACCAAAAAATCCTTGGCTGGAGAATTGGATCAGCAGTAAAGAGCACTAGTTGCTCTTACAGAAGACTGGAGTTCAATTGCTAGCATACATTCATTGTTCACAACCTACTCTAGTGAGGATCTGATGCCCTCTTCTGACCTCTGGGCACCAGGCACGCATGTGATACAAAACCTGAAATTTGAAATTTATGCCCTGGCAATGCTGAAGCATGCATGGGCAGCCCATATATGGTGGTTCTGTTGAACTTGTCCATATTGGGTTTCACGGTCTAAGTTTATGAGGACTGACCAGGTCTCTTCCTCAAGAGAGCACCAGATCTCATTACAGATGGTTGTGAACCACTATGTGGTTGCTGGGAATTGAACTCAGAACCTTTGGAAGAGCAGTCAGTGCTCTTAACCTCTGAGCCACCTCTCCATACATGTTGCAAAACACATCCACATAAAAAAATAAATAATAAAAGTTAAAAAATATATCTAAATAAACCAAAACTTGGGAGGCAGTGCAGGTAGGTTTCTGAGTTCTAGGCTAGCCTGTCTACATAGAGAGCTCAAATATGCCCAGGGCTACTACATAGTGAGACTCCATCAGAGAAAACCAAATGTAAAGTAAACATTTAGATAAGACCAAAATTGGGACTTTCTTTTTCATGTATTTTGTATTTATTTTTTAGGGTCCCATTTATATATTTTGATCATATCTACCCCTATTTTTCTCTTTCCCAGCTTTTTTTTCTTTTCAATAATCCTCTGAGTCCAGTACTGCTGCTCATATGACATGAGTTTGGTAGGGCTTCTACGGGAGTTTGGATTCCCTGCCAGGGGCCACCACTCAAGGCCACCACTCAGTTTCTTGCAGAAGGTTTTCAGCAGTAGCTCAGCTGTTCCTGTGTATTAAACTAACCCTAGTATCACTTTTTTTGTTCAGCACAACTCAGCAAGAAAAGGATCAACTGGAGGATTCTACAGTTCCAAAGGATGTTCTCAGTCAGATGACCGTACCAGTTTCTTCTCCAGCTACTGCAAAGCCATCAAGGGCAGACACTGCTTCACCTTGTAATAGTAACATCAGTGCACCCACCGCTGTGAATCTACAGGTAAGTTGAATAGTTCATATGAGAAAAAAATAGAATGTGGTAGACAAGAAAACTTATTTTTTCAGATCTGGCAAGGTGGCTTAGTGTGAGTAAATGTGCCTGATGCCATGCTGCCCTGAATTTAACATCTGGGACTCATTTGGTAGGAGACAACCAACTCCAGCAAGCTGCTGCTGTCCTCTGACCACCATGCACCTGCACCCACCATGGCACAAGTTTTATCTACACACACACACACACACACACACACACACACACACGCACACACACACTAAATAAAATGTACTTTAAAAATTTTTTAAATATCCTGGCAGTGGTGGTGCACACTTCTAATTCCAGCAATCTGTGGGGTCAGAGGCAGGAGGATCTCGTGTGAGTTCAATGCTAGCCTGATCTACAGAGTGATTTCCAGGATAGACAAGGCTATGCAGAGAAATTTAAACTACCTTTTCACCATAACACATTGGTAGAGCACAGTCATTTGGGAGTATTACAGATTAGGACTGCTGTATTGCTTTATTTTTATTGTATGCTATAAAAGGGAGATCAGGCATAATGGTGTATAACTGGAATTCATCACTCTGAAGACTGAGGCAGGAGGATCTCTCTGAAATCAAAGCTACTGATAACCACAGAGTGAATTTGATGCTAGCTTGGGCTTTAGAGTGAGATTATGTCGTCCCCCCCCCCCCAAAGTTTGAAGTCTTTTTTTTTTTTTTTTTTAAAAAAAAAAAAAGCCGGGCGGTGGTGGCGCACACCTTTAATCCCAGCACTCCCGGGAGGCCGAGGCAGGCGGATCTCTGTGAGTTCGAAGCCAGCCTGGTCTACAAGAGCTAGTACCAGGACAGGCTCAAAAGCTACAGAGAAAACCCTGTCTCAAAACCAAAAAATAATAATAATAAAAAAATAAAAATTAAAAAAAAAAGATTTATTTGTTATATATACAGTGTTCTGTCTTCATGTGTGCCTGTAGGCCAGAGGAGGGTGCCAGATCTTATTTTACAGATGGTAGTAAGCCACCATATGGTTGATGGGAATTGAACTTAAAACCTCTGGAAGAGCCCTCAGTGCTCTTAACCACTGAGCCATCTCTCCAACTCCCCTAAAGGAGCTGTCTTTAATAGGTTGAGTAATCTTGTAATTCAGTAATAGTATTAGAGTAATAGTTCCTATTTCTCCCAAAGTTCTTTGTGGGGAGGCGGCGATGAGACAGGTTCTCTCCATGTAGCCCAAGCTGTTCTGAAACTCTGTGTAGAGCAAGCTGGCCTCAAATTCATAGAGATACACCCCGTTGCTTAACAAGTGTTGGGATTCAAGGTGTGTGCTACTATAACCAGTCTACCCAAGTTACAGTAGTTTTCTGGGTGCCAGGCTGAAGTCTTGGCTCTGTAGCTGAGCCAGAGAGAGACTTAGTGCCTGTTGTTCTGTGAGTGCTGCTATAGGAAGCTGTGAGGGGAGCATGGGTGAGCTAGGAAGCTACAACATGATAAGTGGACTGGGATGAGCAGTGTGAGCTAGTGTGGCGGTTCCTTCCCCGGGGCTAGAGGAGGCTATGGCCAGTTTAAATGTCCTGTGATGTCCCTTGCTGTTCTTGCAGCTCCCTGAACCCAGGAGCAGGCTTCTGAATAACACAGAAGCTTTGTGTGTTTAATTTCATCTTTAGGGACTGGGGAGATGGTCCAGTGACTAAAGTGCTTTCTGAGCAAGCTCAGGATCTAAGTTTAAGGTTCCCACACCCACTGAACTGGGTGCAGTGGCACATGCTTAGAGTGTCAGTGCTGGAGGACCTTGGGCTTGCTGGCTTCTAGATTCAGTGTAAGACACTGTCTCTAGAAATAAGGTGCAGTGCAATAGAGGGGATACTCCGCATTCTCTGGATTTCTCAAGCAGACATAGGCAAGTACACACAGCTATGTAGTTTAACCTGTTCTTCAGTGGTAGGAATTTAACACACACACACACACACACACACACACACACACACACACACACCTACCTCTTCCCTGGCTGTCTGGTCTCAAACTCACAGAGATCCGCCTGGCGCTGCCTCCTGAGTTACAGGTGCGCCACCACTGCCTGGCCTGACAACCTGAATTTGATCCTCGGGGCCCACATGGTGTCAAGAGAGAACTATACAAATCGTCCTCTAAACTCCATGTGAACTGTTGCGTGTTGCATGACATACACACATACACAAAAATAATGATAACTGGGCAGTGATAGTGCATGTCTTTCATCATCGCACTTGGGAGGCACAGTCAGGTAGATCTTTATCTTTGTGAGTTCAAGGCCAACCTGGCTACAAAGCTGAGTTCCAAGACAGCCAGAACTACACAGAGAGACCCTATCTCAAAAACATCATCATCATCATAATTTTAAGTAAGAAATCTTAGAGAAATTCCAAAGGCATTAATTATACTCTATAGCAGTATACACGAGAGTACATATTTTCCTAGACACTTTTACTGTCCGTTTGGTTAAAGCTAATAATTTATATATGTTTCAGAGAAATATACTCCATAATTTGTTATCTTTTTATAGGAACCTCGAAAGTTAAGTTATGCTGAGGTGTGTCAGAAGCCTCCTAAAGAGCCATGTCCAGTTCCTGTCCAGCCTCTACGGGAACTGAGAACCAATGTTGCATCTCCCACCAGAAATGAAGAGAATGGATCTCCTGAGAAGCCTGTTGAAAAACCATATGAGAAACCAGAAACAAGGGCTAGTAAGGATCATTCTGGCTTCCGCGGCAGTGCCATTCCCAGGGGAGCAGCTGGAAAAATCAGGGAACAGAGACGGCAGTTTAGCCATAGAGCTATACCTCAGGGAGTGACTCGACGTAACGGGAAAGAGCAGTTTGTGCCACCCAGATCACCAAAGTAAAACACAACCGTAACAGAAGCTACTCAGAAACTTCTCTCTTCCCACTAAACTTGAGCCTATATTGAACTGTCTTGGAGGGGAGGAAGTAGTCAGGAAAGATGGGAAGTATGTTCTTAAATATTATGGATTTTGGAATTGTAAGAGGAACCCAAAATTCATCTCTAAATGATTTTCAAATGCTGGAGGATTCCAATCAGTATAAATATATATAAATATATATATACACACACATATATATAAATATAATTTTTCTATTTTTGTTTTTGATTTTAATTTGCAGGGATTTTCTGCCTGGAATCAATTTTGAAGGTTCAGATTTAGCTTGGGAGAGAAAACAAAAAAACATTATACATCCTTCAGTATAGGAGATGAGGGAGTGAGAGAAAATATTTTTTGAAGAAACATTTCTGTAAAAATTAGAAATTACTTTTTTTAATCTATTTAAAGTTTGGCTTGAAGAATGCCGTCTCTGACAAATGGCCTTGTGTTGCAAAGCAGATCAGTGGCTGGGGATCTGTTCTGGGTGTGAGTGTGTACAAAGTGATTGAAGCCAAATCTGTTGTCCTGTTAGTAAATGATTTAAAAACTGAATGTAATACTTGAGTAGACTTTTGTAGTTTGGAATTTAGTTTGTTTTTTGACATTACTAATATTGTATTGTATTGAGCTAGCTATTAAGCTTGATTGTGTGTGAAGCTGTGACTACCAATCAGTTTGATATTCAAGAGAAGAATAGAGATTATTCAAAAACAATTGAAAGTTTCTGTTTTAGACCTGAATACTGGATAGGTCAAATAGATTTCAGAGGTTCAAACTGCTCTGTGACTTTTTTTAAAAAAAAACTTCTCTTTAAAATGGGAGACAAATTTTTTTTCTTACTTGTTTGTTAGTCTCTGTTCTTTGACTCTTCACCCCCAGAAGCAAAATAACCAACCATTTCCTGTGGTTTCTCACTACTTTGACCAATTTAATCAAATCATACAACTATCCTAAACATTATAATGAATTACTGAAAGATTTTATTCTTCTATTAAAGCAATTTGAATTTTAGATCCCAGGATGGTGCTGGCCTGCCATTAATTTATTTGTATTGGTGTTAAAAATGAAGCAGAATGCTTTTGGGTGTGGTGGCATACATCTCCAATCCCAGCTTCTGAGGTCTATGCTTGCCTGGTTTACATGAGATCCAGTCTATCCATGACTACCTAGTGAGAGACCCTTTTCCAAAGAAATTAAAAATATATAAGAAAGACAAAACAATGTAACTGATTTTTTTAAAGTGGTATAAAAGAAAAAATTTCAAAATCTTAATTTGGGGGACTTCTTTTTCTTTTTACAGTGTTTATCATCTTTCTTTCCCCTCCTTCCCTAAAAAATACAGTTTGGAATTCATTGACTAAAAACAGCAAGTCGAGAAACTTGAGATAAAGCGAGAAAAGTGGTTGAAGAAAATAAATGCATAATTTCTCAGTGAATAAAGTTGTAGCTGTCATATATTAAATAGGAAAGTTTACCTGCTGGTATTTAGAAAACAGCTCAAATATGAAAAACCATGTTGCATTAATCTGTCTTAAGTCATAGCCTTTTTATAGTTTTATGTAGGGTGGTGGTTTATTTTCTGCTTAGGGATAGTTCATAATAGTAAGAACTGTTCCTTCTATTAGTGAGTTATGTTTGTACAAATTGAAATTGTAAGTTGTGAGCACTGGAAAGCACCATTGTGACATAAACATCATAGTAATATATGTAAATGGAAGTTAAAATTGCATTACTGTGAAACTTACCTTCCAACTCTTTTATTATTAAAAAGAAATCTTTTTATTTTTAATCTCAAATACAATTAGTTTCTCTGATTATAACCCATAATCAGTGTCACCTAAAATAGAAAGATCTCTACAGAACAACCATCCCAGGTCTCTCTCTCTCTCTCCATTTCTAGGGCAGTTGTACTCAGAAAAAGCAGAGCTGAATTTGTCAAATTACTGTCTGCATTTAGAGACTCTCATGGAAATAAGGGAGAGTCGGACACCAGAGTAATAAAATTAAAAGCTTTCCATGATGAAACCATCTTGTGCACTATTCCGAGCAGTCTTAGGTGTTGGTCTTTCTGGAGATCCCAGCTCTGGACAATGGCAGGCACCCTTGGGAACCAATGGCTCCGTTCACTTGCCGTACAGTTGGTCATGGTGCATTTCCGGTGATTAAGTCAGCAGGACAATCATGACCCAGAGGTGAAGCAAAGCCATATAGATAATTACAAACATTCATGCTATGGAGTATCTTTGGAGAAAAATTTCCAGGCGGATACTAAACTGGTCAGTGGAGCTAGCAGCTTTGCAAAGCTTACCATACATTCCTGCCAGATTAGTTTCTGTGTTATTAAGAAGATCAGGAACATTTCGCAGGCGTGTCCCTTCACCACTGTCAATTCCAGACTTGGTAATGGAGGATCCGGTGGAGACAGAGTGCACCTGCTGCTCCAGGCGCTCTAGTTGGAAGACTAAGGAGCTCTTTTCTTTGCTGAGGTTCTCTAGCATGGTCTTCTGCTGGATGAGTGTCTCTTGTCAGCTGATGGAGTCGGCTTTCTAGTTCCGACTGGAACTAAAGTTTTGTTAGTAAGCTGGTTCCTCTCAATCCTTAATCCTGCTTTTTTTTTTTTTTTTTTGGTTTTTCGAGACAGGGTTTCTCTGTGGCTTTGGAGCCTGTCCTGGCACCAGCTCTGTAGACCAGGCTGGCCTCGAACTCACAGAGATCCGCCTGCCTCTGCCTCCCGAGTGCTGGGATTAAAGGCGTGCGCCACCATCGCCCGGCTCCTTAATCCTGCTTTAACAGGGTGTTCCTTGTTCCATGCAGATCTTCTTCCACGTAATGAAATTCCTCTTTTATCTGGTCCAGTTTTGTCTCCTGCTCTTGTTTAGAGGTTTTCTGCCTAGCTATCTGGTCTTGCAGATCGTGTAATTGTTCTCTTGCTGATTCTGCTTCACCAACCTGCTGAGCCTCTATATCCTGCAACTCAGATGTCAGCTGATGTATCTGGCCCATCCGCTTCTGGATCTCCTCCTCTTGCATCTCCTTCTTGTGCCGAAGTTCTAGCTCCATGTTGCCAGCAGTGCTGCTGTCTAGGCCTTCAAAACTGGAGGCTTCCTTTAAACTGTTTATCAATTTTTCTTTAGACTGGAGTATTTGTGTAGCTTTCTGCTTGTGGTCAGTTAATTCCTGCTTAGAAGACTCCAAGCTCGACCTGTGTAGCTTGACTTGCTGCTGGAGCTCATCAACCTCCTTCTCCTCAGAGTACTTTCTTTCTGCCAGAGTAACCGCTTCTGCCAAATTCTGACGTTCTGCTTCCATTTTATTAAGGCGTGTAGTGAACTCACTCTGCATCTGTTTGTAGCTCTCCTGCTCTCTCTTCAGAGTGGCACCCACCTCATGCAGCCTCGCCTGAAGAGTTTGCAGAGCTTGGTTCTGTAGACTACTGCCTTCGTTGTTGATGACTTTTCCCTCTGCAAGGCTTCCAGTGCTTCCGTGTCAGCCTCTTGCTGCAGCCGCACTTTGAGCACAGCCAGCTGGGATTCTTTGCAGCCACTGCTTCAGTAAGGTCATCAACTTGGTCTCGTAGTTCCTGAGTATTCGATCACTTTTTGAATGGTCAACATTCCATTTTTCAACTCTTGCCCTTGCCTTATTTAATTCTTCTTGAGTTTCTTTGGATCTCTGAAGTAGTGTTAACTCTTACGTGTCAGATTTGTGTTAGTGGGTAATTCTTAAAAGCCTTGAAAACACTGCACGATTAGTGTAACCCAGAATTATTTCTTTGTAACTTATTCAGCTTGGCAAACGCTTTTGATTTGGTCGGTTGATAACATGGTGTATTTACTCAGTTGGAAACAATTATTTCTAAATACTATTTTTTTAATCATCTACTAGATGGAGCATACAATAAAACTACCTGTACTAAAAATTGGGAGAACTTTAGATCATTTTAAAAGTATTAATAATCGTTAGCTGCATCAATGATAAAAGTGTTCTGTTTACCTAGAAATGATAAACATTTAAAGTGTTAACATCCTATGAATGCAGTGGATTAATAGAATAAACATTTTGCAAAAATCACTTGGTAAAGATTATAAACTTTATTTTTGCACTTAAAATGAAAAATATTTTGTTGAAAGGTGTCACAGATGTAGTTTTCAATTTCTTGTAAGCTTATGTGATTTACTGGTAGTCCATTAAAACACTGCAAGTTGCGTCTTTGCAGTGCTGCCCTTGAACCCAGGACCTTCCACGGGCCCCATAAGTGTTCTGCACTGACATATAACCCTAACTTCTCTAAGTTCTGAATGAAATTCAAGAAGAATTTCTTTTGAAAAAATACTGAGTGTAGAAATTTTTTAAAGCACAGGATTTTTAATTTCCCTCAGTACTTCTAAATAGCTCCCATTTGATGGGAGTGTATGTGGGATTGGGGGGCAATGAAAATTAATTTGTAATATATATAATATATATTCACAGTGTGTATTTGGCAGTTATTTTATTGCAGCAGATTTAAGTTTGATGATGCCTGTGAGTTGTGTGAAACTGACTTTTGCCCATCGTTACTGTTAAAGCCAATTGGATTGGTGTTCATAATGTTTCAGCTACTTTTGGTTCTTGAGATGGGGAATTTGAATATCAAAGTTTTCTCTTCACCCTATGGCTTAGCATTTTCTTGCATTGTTGAAGGCCAAAAGTAGATAAAGTGTATTTTAGGGTTCTTGCATGAAAGAGCAAAATCCTACAGGTTCATCACTGCGCTTCATAGAGAATGTACGCAGAGGGGCATGGCAGAACCTTCTCTTCTGTCTTCTGTCTTGATAATATCAAATGTCTGTCTCTAATCTAAGGAATCTCAATTTTGCCAAATATAGTCATTGGCATTTAAAATAGAGACCTATCTAAATTTTTGCCCAACTGTATTTTGGAGACAGGCGAGACCTTTAAATGCTGAAGAGTTTGTTGTTGTCTTATCTTACCTGCATATTTTGCATATAATCCAATGATATGCAGAGTTTTAATTTATTTTTAGTTCTTAAAGTTAAGGTATCTTCAATATTTCACATTCCTTTTTCTTTTTAAATAGCTAGATTTGCTTTTCAAAGACTTGGGGATGGAATTAAGTTAGTGTCTTTCACTGAGGGTAAAGTGAACAAGAAAGTTGAACAGTTAGGAGCACTGTGTCTAGTTGTGTTAGTTCTGTGTGGCCTTACTAATCAGTCTCTTGGCTTAAATGTTCGCTGCTTTTACTTTGACACAGTTGATGAACAGCACTGGGGTTCAGTTCCTGATGTTTGTGTTGGCAATATATTTTAACCATATTTTAAGAGTATCAATTCTGGCTTTTTATGGAAAAGATAAAAATCAAACAGTATATTCCTTTTGAGGGTTTTTTTAATGCGTAAATATATATAAATATAATATATGATGGATTTTTCTAATTTTTTATATTTCCTTACAATTTGTGGGTATTAATCTAACGTTAGACTCTGGCATATACAAAGTAGCTAGTCTGGGCTTTCAAAAAACATGCATGGAAATTCCAGTTTTTATTAGCTGAATGAGGATATTTAGAATTCTCTTTTAAAAGTGACCTGATTACTAAATATCTTAATGTTTATTTTTAAACTAACAATTTGTCGTGTCTTATTAGGCAGTCCTAAGGTGCAGCTCAGATGTCTGTGAGCTGTGGGCCAAGCATTCTGTTTTCAGTTCTATAGCACAGAACACTGATTAGTATTGTAAAGAGACATCCACATCATTGTTCTGGTTTTTTTTTTTTTTTCAGCAGGTTCAGGTGTCCCTTGAGTGACGTATCCTAAATGTGGGGGAGTGGGGTGTCAGAACCAGTTACCTGGCTTCTATTTTGTCCGTAGCTTAGATTTGTCCCTGTTGTCAAAACTGTCCCCCAATGGTGTAGCACATACTCATGCATAAACTGTTAAATGCACATCTTTGTATTTGTATTCGTTTTCAACATTGCCAAGGTGCTATGGGAAATTACAATTACAAAATTAGAA